ACACAAACTCACGGTCCAGACGCGTAACACAAGCTCTCGCTACACGGCCAACCTCGGCCTCAACGAGGCGTTCAACGAGGGGTGCGAGCCGCCGCGGCCGCCGCCATAGTTGCGCGCGCACGCCGAACCCGAGCGCCCGCGCCGCCCGACGAAACCCATACCGCGCCCTAGCCGCTTACTCGCCCGCGCCCGCCGGCGGGCTCGCGAAGACGACGTCCCGCTCCGCGAGGGGGTTCGCGTGGATCGTGACGCGCTCGATGCGCACGTCCGTCGTCGGCCGGTTCTTCTTGCCCACGGGCAGCTTCTCCAGCGCGTCGAGGGCGTCGAAGCCGTCGATGAGGCGGCCGAAGACCGTGTACCGATCGTTCAGGTGCGGCTGCGCGTCGAAGGTGAAGAAGAACTGGCTCCGGTTCGTGCCCGGCCCCTTGTTCGCCATGGCCAGAACGCCCCGCCGGTCGTGCCGGTTCTCCGCGTGGAACTCGTCGCCGAACGCGCCGCCCCAGATCGACGCGCCGCCCTTGCCGGAGCCCGTCGGGTCGCCGGTCTGGACCATGAAGCCGCGGATGACGCGGTGGAAGGGCGACCCGTCGTAGTACCTGCGGGCGGCGCTCGGTCGGCGGTCGGCGGTCGGTCGGCGTACGGCGCCGGCGCGGTGCCCGCTGGCGCAGAGCGCGAGGAAGTTGAAGGACGTCGCCGGCGCCGTGTCGCAGAAGACCTCGACCTTGAGGTCGCCGACCTGATTGGGTGGGGCGTGCGAAGGCGTCTGTTCGTCGCGGACGCGGCGCGGCGCACGGCTGTATGGAGAGTCACGGACATCGCGCCGCGGCCAGGCGTGCAACCACACGGTGTTTACCCCTACTTTCTAACTTTCCCCCTTGTTGCCCCTCATTTCGAGCTCATGGCAGCCCTCACGATGCCGCCCCACGCAGCCCCCGACGAGGCCGAAACCGACGAGGAACCGTAGACCGAGGACCCTCATCTCGAGCTCATGGCGGCCCTCACGATGCCGCCCCACGCAGCCCCCGACGAGGCCGAAACCGACGAGGAGTCGGAGACCGAGGAGGAGGAAATCGACCAGTGGCTCGGCGCCGACGAGGTGCGGCGCGGGCGCCTCGAGCGCGAGGCGGACAAGGTCATGAAGGTCCTGTCCAAACGCTACGGCGCCGGCGCCGAGCGGCGCTTGGTCATCCTCGAGCTGGCGCGCCGCGAGGTGGCGAAGGCGTCCATGTACGACGCCATCCACGCGTCGCGGCAGCGCGCGCTCGACGACGCCGGGCCGTTCGGCGAAAACGCGCTTGGCTTGTTCGACTATGAAAACGTCATG